GTGGGGGGAGGGGCGTGTCCCCCCCCCCCCCCCCAATTGCTGCTTTAGGGACTTAACTTTTTAGTTACAGATAGAGCAAAGGGGGGTAATAACCACCTGTCATTTTTAAAAATTATTTATTGCATCTGCGCAAGGGGAGATTTCCCTTTACTTCCTGTTCCATTGACATGGCAGGATCTGAGAGGAAATGCTTTCAAAGAGAGGAGTCAGCAGAACTAGTATCACCATTGCTTTTTGGGTCTACTTTAATGTTGGAGCAATTATGGCAGAACTTCTGTCCCCAGAGCCAGGCTATGAGCGATGGATACTCACAGAAATAGATTATGAATGACTTCCACTGGATTCTGAGCAGAGGAGTCGCTCTTCAAGGGCGGCTCCTTTTTGTCACATTTCACCCACAGAAAGATCCGATGTTGTGAATGTTATCTCTTTCCTTGCTGTCATTCGGAGAGCAGATAGGAAGCCGGTGCGGTGTTCAAGGCGACTGGGATTAATACTCCGCACACGTCACATCCCGGAGTTTATGTATTCATCTCCGACATCGATCTGCTCTGGATTAAGTGTTACCTTGTCACCCTTGTATCATCAACATTTCTTTTCCCTTTGTGTTGTATTTTTCCATTAATAACACACGTGCTTTTTATGTGGACTTGTGTATGAGAAAGCCAAATCCCTGCAGACTCACAGGGGGAAGAAAAAGGGGGACATACTGGGTCCTGGTCAGGGCTGGACAAATGCCAGGAGCCAGGTAGCCAATGCTCTTTAAAAATGACAGCTGGCCCCTAACCTTTGAGGTTTTCTCTGGTTGTCTGAATTGGACAGACCGGCTCCGGAACTCCGTATTAATTTGTCCATCTCGCACCCAGGTTCATGTTGGGGACTGTATTGGGCTGCTGGAAACCACTTAGATGATTATTTATTGAAAGTGACAGGACGACTTAAGGACTGGCGGGCTGACGATAGGACTGGCGGGCTGACGATAGGACTGGCGGGCTGACGATAGGACTGGCGGGCTGACGATAGGACTGGCGGGCTGACGATAGGACTGGCGGGCTGCCGATAGGACTGGCGGGCTGACGATAGGACTGGCGGGCTGACGATAGGACTGGCGGGCTGACGATAGGACTGGCGGGCTGACGATAGGACTGGCGGGCTGACGATAGGACTGGCGGGCTGACGATAGGACTGGCGGGCTGACGATAGGACTGGCGGGCTGACGATAGGACTGGCGGGCTGACGATAGGACTGGCGGGCTGACGATAGGACTGGCGGGCTGACGATAGGACTGGCGGGCTGACGATAGGACTGGCGGGCTGACGATAGGACTGGCGGGCTGACGATAGGACTGGCGGGCTGTCAATTGCTGCTTTAAGGACTTTTCTTTTTAGTTACAGATAGAGCAAAGGGGGGTAATAACCACCTGTCATTTTTAAAAATTATTTATTGCATCTGCGCAAGGGGAGATTTCCCTTTACTTCCTGTTCCATTGACATGGCAGGATCTGAGAGGAAATGCTTTCAAAGAGAGGAGTCAGCAGAACTAGTATCACCATTGCTTTTTGGGTCTACTTTAATGTTGGAGCAATTATGGCAGAACTTCTGTCCCCAGAGCCAGGCTATGAGCGATGGATACTCACAGAAATAGATTATGAATGACTTCCACTGGATTCTGAGCAGAGGAGTCGCTCTTCAAGGGCGGCTCCTTTTTGTCACATTTCACCCACAGAAAGATCCGATGTTGTGAATGTTATCTCTTTCCTTGCTGTCATTCGGAGAGCAGATAGGAAGCCGGTGCGGTGTTCAAGGCGACTGGGATTAATACTCCGCACACGTCACATCCCGGAGTTTATGTATTCATCTCCGACATCGATCTGCTCTGGATTAAGTGTTACCTTGTCACCCTTGTATCATCAACATTTCTTTTCCCTTTGTGTTGTATTTTTCCATTAATAACACACGTGCTTTTTATGTGGACTTGTGTATGAGAAAGCCAAATCCCTGCAGACTCACAGGGGGAAGAAAAAGGGGGACATACTGGGTCCTGGTCAGGGCTGGACAAATGCCAGGAGCCAGGTAGCCAATGCTCTTTAAAAATGACAGCTGGCCCCTAACCTTTGAGGTTTTCTCTGGTTGTCTGAATTGGACAGACCGGCTCCGGAACTCCGTATTAATTTGTCCATCTCGCACCCAGGTTCATGTTGGGGACTGTATTGGGCTGCTGGAAACCACTTAGATGATTATTTCTTGAAAGTGACAGGACGACTTAAGGACTGGCGGGCTGACGATAGGACTGGCGGGCTGACGATAGGACTGGCGGGCTGACGATAGGACTGGCGGGCTGACGATAGGACTGGCGGGCTGACGATAGGACTGGCGGGCTGACGATAGGACTTCTGACGTAAGGACATGACCACCCACCTAGCTTACATGGCCTTTCCACTAGTTTCTGATTTATTGAAAAGCAATGACGCAAGCTGATTTGGTGCAGTAGGTTATAGAGCAGGGGTGGGCAACTCTAGCCCCCCAACTGTGCTTTAACTACAAATCCCAACATACGTCTGCCTCTGGAAGTCATTTCTGTGGCTGTCAGTGTCTTGCAATTTCTCCCGGGACTTGTAGTTCCACAGCTGGAGTTGCCCACCTCTGTTAAAAATCATGCTAAGCCAATGGGTAGAGAAGTTCATATGGACTCGGGAGCCAGCAGGGTTTTTTTAGTACACTGCACCATTAACAACAACTGGGGAAAACCTCAAAAGTTGGGCGCCAGCTTTAATTTTTATGGCGCATTGGCGACCTGACTCCCAGGATTCCAGCACTGTGCTAAGCAATTTCTATGTTAAAGTGGACCTGTCATTTGAGAAGTAGGCGGGCTGTCTTCACAGACCTCCTTCTGATAATGTTAGATGCCTAGCTGTGTTTGTCTTCAGTTCTTTGGAGTCAGAAACCTGGAACACGTATGTTGTAAATGAGCAAAATGTGTGTCACAAGTCCTTAGCTCTATAGTCGGGTCAGGGACTCGATGAAGCTGAAGGATTAGCATGACTGGTAAGGAGAAAACAAAACAAGACAATACAGCAATAGCAATCTCCATTAGTTTCTTTTTAAAGTGTAAAATCATTAGTTAAAACAAACTATAAGTAGGATAAGATTCACAATAAAGGGGGTGGGGGTGAGTCTACATACGTATCCCTACCTTGAATGGAGCAGCTGTAGCTCCTCATTGCACTTTATGTTTAGTGGTGACCTAACCAGCCTAAAATCTGTTGACAACTGCAAAGTTCATTCCATCCATGTATAGTAAGGTTGTCATAACCCTGAAACACCGATCTGTTTTTCCAGGTATAAACCTCCCACCACAGAAAGCTCCCCCACCCTGGATGACCCAACCCCAGACTACATGAACCTCCTGGGCATGATCTTTAGTATGTGCGGCCTGATGCTTAAGGTAAGACTTGAATACAGCAAACCTAGGACTCCTTTTAAAGTGAACCTTCCGTTTTCTGTCCAAGCATCAGGGGAAAAGAATAGGTATGAACTAGCGATGCGCTGATACCGGTTTCTAGGTACCGATATTTATATTTAATTACTCGCCGGTACTTCCGGTAGCATGGAATCATCTTCCTGTGCAATCAATGATTGCCTGGGAAGCCGGCATCCTAGCCAATCAGCATGGAGCCGGCTTCCCAGTCAATCAGGAAGGCGGGTCATTACCCGCTGACTGGCATCCTGATTGGCCGGGAAGCTGGCTCCATGCTGTTTGGCCTGCTCAATGCTGAGTGGCCAGGAAGCTGGCTTTCCAGCCAATCAGCATTGAGCTGGCTGGCTGGCAGACTCAATGCTGATTGGCTGGGATTCCGGCTTCCCAGCCAATCAGCAGGGAGCTGGCTTCCCGTCCAATCAGGAAACCGGGTCATTACCCGCTTCCTGATTGGCCGGGAAGCCGGCTCCATGCTGTTTGGCCTGCTCAATGCTGAGTGGCCAGGAAGCTGGCTTTCCAGCCAATCAGCATTGGGCTGGCTGGCCGACTCAATGCTGATTGGCTAGGATTCCGGCATCCAAAGCCAATCACATGGAGCTGGCTTCCCGGCCAATCAGAAAACCGGGTGGTGAGTTACTACCCGTGGCTCGGCTTCCTGATTGGCCGTTAAGCCGACTCCATGTTCCCTCACGACAATGCCAATCAGAGGAAATCTCCCTCCTGTATCGGGGGTAAGTATCGGAGCATTTGGGCGAGTACAAGTATTCGGCCAAATACCATACCGACACTAGTATCGGTGCATCCCCAGCATTAACTATTGGGTGGGCAAAGTACATTAACCGACCACCAAGATGCCCCCGCTTTAATGATATTGAGTCACCCTGAACAAGTATGTGCATATGGGGGAACAGACACCCCAGTATTCTGCATGCTTGTATCATATCATCGGCTTAGTAAATATTACAGCGGGTATAAGAATGTCTGATTGCCTTAAGGTTGCATCTTTTATCTCAAGTCGGCTCCCATATTTCTATCCTGGTTCATTTCTTTTCAGATGAGAGAATCTTCCGAGATGCACAATGTTGCTTATATACCACCAAGTGGTGCTGTAGCTGTTTCTGTGTACACGTTGACCTTCCACAATAATTGTATTTTGTTTTTCTCTTCCTAACATCAGTACCTGACCTCACAAATGGCCCAACATTCCCATAGACACACTCCTAAACCTTGTGGACGCCTTCCCAGAAGAGTTGCAGCTTTTATAGCGTCAAAGGGCGGAGCCAACTCAATACTGAACCCTACGGACTAAGACTGAGATGCCATTAATGTCCATGTGCGTGTAAAGGTCGGCGTCTCAATACTTTGGGCAATATAGTGTATTTTACACATATGTGGAAGTCACACTCCATGCCGAAGCACTTCTGCAAATTCTTATCTATAGCAGCATGAGGAAATATAGAGAAATGAGGAAATTTAGCACGTGCATTGCATCCTTCTATTTGGTACACGAGCGCAAGAACCTCTCTTCTGACCTGTTCATATGTTTCTGTAACTTTAATTTCTAAACTCTTGGCCAATCGCTAGACACGCAGATAAAATACACGTATGAACCATTTTACCTGCCAAAAGGATTTGTATGTTTGTCTATCCAGTTCTAAGAAGTGCACAGACCTGCCCCCCAGCGCAGCCATGTTGGACCTGATTCTCTCTAGTCACCTTCCGGGACAGCATCGGAGAGAGAGGCTCCTCCCACCGGAACAGGAAACGCATCACCCAGAGGCGTAACTAGATTGTGTGTGTGTGTGTGTGTATATATATATATATATATAATATACATTTTTTTTTTGTTTTTTTACAAGATAATTGTGTTTCTTAATATAATCTTGTCTGACATTTCTTGTGATGACCATACATTAGGATTATTGTCACACTCGCATTGTAGAACGCATGTTTTTCTTTTCATATCCATTTTCATTGCACTCCCCGCACAACGATCTCCTCCATACAACACAGCCAGACATGCCCCCTCCACTACTCAGCTCGGAGCTCCACCCCCTTTATGCTGATCAATGAGCTTCTCCCACGTCAGTATCTGCATAATAAGTAGCACAGAACCCCACCCAGCTACAGCTTCTTCCTTTCTGGGGCCCCCCAAGTGGCGGAACGCCAGGGCCCGGTCGCATATGCGACCGCTGCGACCCTGGTAGTTCCGCCAGTGACATCACCCGCACCTAATAAAAAAAATGATCACACGCCTTGCATTCCTCAGTTATTTTGTGTTTCCTCCGGGCCAAGCAGGACATCGGAACGTTTGTTGTTTTAGCTAGACCTGCCCCCCAGCACAGCCATGTTGGAACTGATTTTTCTCTGTAAGACGTTTACCATCTTTTCCCTCCCCCAGCCTGTGACTGGACAGCGAAGGAGAAGCAGCAGACTGATGAGCTCATCTCTCCTATCCGTGTTCTCCTTGTTGGCACATAAGCACCATAGCACAACTGATTGGCTCCTGGTGCTGCTTCTCTTATCCTCAGTCTGAGCTCTGCTGTACAGGGCATTGCAAGAAGATTATACCGGGTCAAATGAATCTTTGCTTGCAAGAAAACTTCTAACAATGTTTTAATGCCATTTATAAACTATTCCGCTCTCCGTATAGATCCCAATGCTGAGTAATGAGGAAGCTTTATTGCTTATATCAAATCTTTATTTTACATAAACAAACTTTGAATAGAATGTTGGATGTGTGATGATCAGTCTGCTCAGTGCTGGCTGCATGCTTGGAGACACCCTGACTAAGCTAGGTGGGTCTTTCTGCCGGCCAGCACAGAGACCTGTCCTCCGAGTCATTGAGCAGTCTCTATAATCTGATCTCCCTGCTTTTCACTGCAGTAGCTGCTTATATGAGCCTGCAGAAGGTTTGTGTTCTTCTTGCAGCTCACCGCTGTTGGCTGCAGGCGGCAGAGACTCCAGTCCACTTCCAGTATTGGGGACTAAGCAAATGTATGTGGCACCACCTCTGGTATTTATTCCATTGGAATGCAGTATGTCGGGTGCAGCAGGAAACCGCTTTGGTCATCCCCTTCCTTCATCAGGCCCACGGATGTCACAATGTTTTCATGTGTATGCGATAAGTACCAGTATTACATCCAGGTTTAGATGATGAACTCTGGCCACCAATGTTATTAACCCTTTGCGGTGGGGCTGCCCCTGCACTGCAAAGGATAATTGCTCCTTTTCATCTAGGTTATACTTGCCTGATCTTCGTAGCCAGCTTGCTCTTAGACCGGTCCCTTCCGCCTTTCTCCCCCTCCACTGCAGCAGTCTAAGGTGCCAGAGTCATCACGTTCTATATCGGATGCGAGGACGCAGAGGGATGTACCATCGCTGCAGCATAGGGGGGAAAGGGGCTGGAGGGAGCACTGTAACAGCCAGCTGGTTCTGAGGATCAGGTCACTATACCTTTTCCTTTCCTCCCTAGACCCAAAAGGAATTCTGCTTTAAATCTACATTGCGTATATAATGATTGTGGATTTAGCCTTAAAGATGTCATTTAATTTTTTGCAGGTTGTCCATCTCGGCAGTGGTCATGTCCTACCTACAGAACCCGCAGCCCATGTCTCCTCCGTGGTAACACTGGCCCGGGCCAGCTCAGGAGAAGTTGGTTCCTGCGGACCCCGGATTGTTACAGAGACCCCGACTTCCCACCTCATCTCCTGCATCTGGCAACCGATTTATTCAATAAAAATGGTTGATTTTTACTTTGATTTTTGTCTGTGATGTTGGGGGGCGGGGGGTTCAAGTGACGGATTTATTTGGGTGACCTGGACCTTTGATTGACAGGGCTGTGGCCACACCAACAGGGGTACGGCGCGTCCTGTCACATTGCCATCACTGAGGAGATCCTGTATTGCACATCTTGGCTGATGTAGCAGAGCGAGGCTTCGGAAGATTATTATTAGTTGGCCAAGCAAAAAAGTCGCAAGGACACCTATTGTTATTGTGCTGATTATTATTATTATTATACGGGATTTATGTAGCGCAGTTTTCGCAGCGCTTTACAATCGAAGTAAGACATTAGAATACTATTCAAGACAAGATGGTAAGGAGGGCCCTGCCTGTGAGAGCTTACAATCTAAAGGGTGGGTTATTATTATCCCTCCGCTTTATTCAAATGCCTGTAACTAGTGCTCTGTTAGTCAAAAACCTCATGAAACTTTGCACAATGGTACAGCCCTGTGCTCTGCAGAGCTTATTATAATATAAATTAGGGATGCACTGATATATCGGCCGCCGAAACATATCGGCCGAAAATGGCACCTTTGGCTAAATGCCGAAAATGGCACCTTTGGCTAAATCCCGAAAGTGCCATTTTCCTGCCGATACATCGGCGCATCGCAGGTTTTTTTTTTCCCTCCCCGCTGGGCGCTGCTCTGTGTCCCAGCGGGGAGGAGAGAAAGTGACAGCCGGCCAAGAGCTGCCGGAGGAGAGCGCTGTGAGCGTCCGGTTTCTCTCCTCCCACACCACTCAGCCACCTATCACAGTCCGGCAGAGCGGTGTGGGAGCGGAGACAGCCTGCGCTGTCATAGGAGGCTGAGCTCTCCTCCCAGCACCACTTGCTCAGCCTCCAGTGACAGCGTGTCAGAGAGGAGAGCAAGGTACATACACTCGGTAATCAGTGATCGCTGAGTGTTTGTAGATAATTGAAGACAAAGTATGGTTACTATATCCTCAATTATGAATGAATGGGAAGTGATCTACATCACCTCTACATCACTTCCTGTTCATTCATGATTGTGGATATAGTAAACAAACAATGTCCTCATGTTATCAATGAACAGGAACACTCATAGGGGATTCCTGTTCATTGATAACAGGGGATAAAGAGATTGAGGAATCTGTGTTCATAATCTCTTTTTTCTATTTTAAAAAGGAAATATCAGGGGTCTGTTTAGACCCCCAATGTTTCCCCGAAGCCCCTAAAAGTAAAGTTAAAAATATTTATTAAAAAATGAATTAAATATTTAAAAAATTTGGAAAAATTAAAATAAAAACATTTTCTGTTTCGGCCTGACAATTTTATTTTTTTTGGTTTTGTTTCGGTTTTTTAATTTCTATTTTGGTGCACCTCTAATATAAAGGTCATAGGTCACATGATGTGGCAGCCATTTTGGTTTTTGTGAGGATTTCTGTGAACTATTCAGAAAGCTGCATCTCCAGAACCGCTCAAGCTACAGATGTACTACTTGCTCTGTGAGATTATGCTTTGCTCTGTTATCACATGTCTTCATTATAGCTCTATTGGTCACATGGTTTGGCAGACATTTTGGATTGTGCAATATTCTGCAAACAACTTGAAACCATTTATCAGAATAACTCAAAACTTTGCACATATGTCCAGGGCCACCTCTTCTACCACGGGCCCAAATTCAATATGGCCGCCACAAGCCAATCACTTTTACCATTGCACCAAATGGCATAAACGTGCTTTTCTATCACTATTGAAGTATGTTAAACATGTTATACATATGATAACTCAACATCATAACCGCCAAATACAATATGGCTTCCAAATGTCACCAAGGTCGGTGGCCATTTTGATTTTGGGAAAATATTACAATTCATGAAAACGTTTGCAGTGGTACAGGTCTATTGTGAATACATAACTTTGCTATTTATGTCACTAACTGCAATATGTTATCATGCGCTATAACCGGCTCTAATGCTTGGCCACCTTTATTGCTGCTTGCAGCTATATTTATTATTATACAGGATTTATATAGAGCCAACAGTTTGCACAGCGCTTTACAATATAAGGAAGACATTAGAATCACAATACAAATCAAGACAAGATGGTAAGGAGGGCCCTGCCCCTGAGGGCTTACAATCTAAGAGGGAGGGGCCAGCAATGCATGAGGAGGTGGCTGTGTGGGGATGAGCTGTTTGAGAATGTGATGGTTGAGATGGGATATGCTTCCCTGAAGAGATGAGTCTTAAAGGCAGTCAGAGTGGGAGATAGATGGACAGGTTGGGGTAAAGAGTTCCAGAGGATGGGAGAGACTCTAGTGGTGGGAGTGGGGTTGCCTACCTATGAGTTTTTCGGACAGGACACGCATAGCCTACAGCAGGGGTAGGCAACTGTGATTCTCCAGCTGTGGCAAAACTACAAATCCATTATGCCTCTGCCTCTCAATGACTCATGGGACTTGTAGTTCCACAACGGCTGGAGCGCCGAGGTTACCTACTCCCGGCCTACAGATGTGACATCCAAAAATGCACTGGGATACAAGGAACAATTTTTGCTAAAGGTGAACTAGCCCTTTAAGTCCCAGCCCAGTTTTTTTTAAATACTTATTTTTATTACTCTGTAAGCAAACTGTTGCATCGGAAATGGGCAATAATAACCAGGGCACAGGTCACTGATATTGCTGCCACACCATGTGACATAAAGGACACCAGATATATGTAACAACCTTTCATTTTCCCCGCTCCCGAGCTGCACTGGAATATTTCTACACTTATATTGGTCGCCAAAATCAAAACTAAACTTTGACTTCCTCAACAAAAAGGGGGAAATTCCTATTGTAGACCCCCCTCCCCCACAGTACACAATGTGCCACCCGCGCCCCCTACTGGCACAACGTCTAAGCGCTATGTAGCGGCGATCAGCTACCTAGTCATGTGACCACCCGATTCTAGGCTGCTGATTGGCCGCTGAGCCGCGAGAGGCTGACAGGTCATGTGATCCGGTGTAAATCCCCAGCAGCGGGCACAACAGCCGGGGGATCATTTGCTGGCAGGCGGGATGGAGAGTTGTGGCTGCCGGGGGAAGTGTCTGCTGCTGGCCGGGCTGCTATGATGAAATCACTTACAATGGATGCTGCTTCTTGATGTTTAAAAAGTTGCATTCCTGCCGAATCAGCTGGTCCCCTGAGCACTGGCCCTGACTTCCTGTTTTAGGGTGGCTCCTTTCCCATTGCATGGTCCTATGGTGCCCCCCTTGTGTGTGCTAATAAGCTGTGTGTGTCTACACAAACATGCAAACAAAGTGTGTATCTTACTGCACTCCTTACCGGATCTCCTAAGAGATAATGTAGATAAAATGGGTGCTCGCAGTGACCACAGGGCACCTTGACAACATATAAATTGGTTAAAGGATGTCACCAGCACACCAAGTGGATAGATTCAGCAAATGTCCATTTTAATGACAATTGTTATTCAATAGCAAGTACTTTCGGGGCCTCGCAGGGTCCCCGTCATGAGGCTCAGAACGTCATCAGGCTCAGAATTTGCTGAATCTATCCCCTTGGTGTGCTGGTAACATCCTTTGCCAAAGTCTACACAAACAGACACAGCAAGGTAAGACTCTTTCTCTCTTTCTTTCTTTCTTTCTTTCTTTCTTTCTTTCTTTCTTTCTTTCTTTCTTTCTTTCTTTCTTTCTTTCTTTCTTCTCCAAGCTAGTAGATGAAGAGTTGCTGGACTCCGCTCTGTCTCTTGTGATCTTGTATTGGGCAGGAAGTTCAGGGAAGCAGAACAGAGAGACTTGCAGCTGTTCAGAAACATGATGAGTGTAAGTGCTTGGACAAAACTGTAAAGCAATGCTTTGCTGGATAATGTTTATTTGTTTTGATCTGGATTAATTATTGAGAAAAAGAGTTTAATACAACTTTAATCTATTACTACTATGAATACCATTTTCTTTCTACAGTTATACACGTTACCTTCTCCCCCCGTGTATATGATGATCACATACTACCTGCCCTTGCCTTTTCCTTTTGTCTTTTATTCTTGTTGCTACATGCAGACATTTCTCTTATCTGTAATGGTTTATTATGAATAAACATATCGGGTATCAATAAAAAAAGGAAACGCCGGCCGGCTGTGACGCCGCGCATCTCTTCTCACTATACAGAAATCAGCGACTCGCAGCAAATAGACCGATCAGGACGCCGTGCTCGTCTCTAGTTTTTGCTGATGTGTTTGCTTGTTGTGGGTCAGTGAAAGTACTGGGGTCGGCCTGATCGCCGCCATGAACAGAAATCATATGAAAACATCAGCATCAGGAAGGGATATAGGTGACTGTGACATCACCGCGTAAAGCCATATAGATTCTCCCTCTATCAGGATCAGCCGCAGCACTAAATGTTCATTTATATAGGAAAAGATGTTCAAAATAATCTCTGAAATGCCTTTTTTTGGATAATTTTCTTTCAGCAGGTCACATGATCACTTCCCTTCTCCTTGCTGTGCCCGTGTCGGTTAGTAGGTCTAAGCCCCGAGCATCATGTGTGGTGGTGACGTTTTATGCACAAGGGCAAAGAGGGCTGCTTTACTTCCACACCCAGTTAAAGCGCCCAATAGAAATCAATGACAGAGTCTGGCTGTTTGCTGGTAAGCGCTGATATGAGCATATGCAACCGTACAAGTGCCTGGATGCATGTGGGCGCTCAGATGAGCATTTACCAGTGTAAAGGTGTATCCTGTCGTTGGTTCGTATAGCCCAGGGGTGGGCACATCTGGTCCTACAAATCCCGACATGCCTCTGGGAGTCGTGGCTGTCAGTCTTGCAATGCCTCATGGGACTTGTAGTTCCACAACAGCTAGAGGGTCGGAGTTGCCCACCCCTGGTATAGGTGGCTGTATACAACACTTGTAACTCCCGGGTGCAGAAATATGGCCGTTTTGTATGGTGTACTGCCCATGTGCATGAGCCCTTAGTTATCTTCTCCTCACGTTGTCTACAGTTTTGACTTACTGTGCTTGGAATGGTCACCAAATGCTGGTGCAGATGTCCCCCTAGCATGGAAAAAGTCATGCATGCTTTAGGGAAGAATTTTGTTTTTGTTTTATTAAAAAAAACGGAACAATAAAAGGATTAGTTAAACGAGTCATGAAAGACTTTTCAGAATGCTGAAAGACCTTGCGCATATTTCCTCATACTTGCCATTGCTTCCTCTTCATTGGTCTACACCAGAGATGGCCAAACTCCGGCCATCCAGCTGAGGTGAAACTACAAATCCCATGAAGCATCTCTCTCCTGGAGTCATGTCTGTGGCTGTGAGAATCTTGCAAAGCCTCATGGGATTCATAGTTCCACCACAGCTGGAGGGCCGCAGTTGGGCCATCCCTGGTCTACACCAATCTTCATCAATCTAGGGTTCCCCCCAAAGGTCCTTTGGGCAATTGGCAATTCCTGCTGCTCAAATAAGCTAACACCCCAATGATCTTTTTTAGTGATTTGTCATGGTTGCCCACACTGACCACCAATGTATAGACCATCCTACTCACTAACCACCAGCGTAGTAGGACCTTAAAGGACCACCAATGTACGGGGGACGTCTACATTGACTATCAATGAAAGCTTTGGAATACATTTGAACCCGATCACTAAAATCTTTTTACAGCAGTGAAAAATGGAACAGCAAAGTGTCTTCACCTTCCCCCAGATATTGCTTCCCACATCCACCCTAATCCCAAGCTCTACATAACTCTGTTCTCTTTTGCGCTCAGATGTCACCTCCCTCCATTCTTTTCTAGTTCCTCCACAGATTGCTTTCTTTCTCTTTGACTGAGATGCTTTATTCTTCTCCCCTCAAATATTGCCAGAGGTCCGGGCAGAGAGGAGAGTGAGGCATGGAGTTTGTAGAGTACAGATGAACGGAGAGTGCAATGTTAGGGGAATAGGGGGAAGATAGAGACACATGTTGCCTGATCAGAAAGGAGTATAAGGCATGGAGGGTGTAAGATTTGGGTAAATGGAGGGTGTAGTGTCAGGGGAATAGGGGGAAGACAGACGTGTGGTGTCTGATCCAAGAGGAGGATGAGTAATGTTAAGTCTAGGGTGGTGGTGGATACGGGGTTGGGGCAGTGTCAGGGGAAGATAGAGGAATATGGGGTCCAATTGGAGAGTAGAGTGAGGCATGGACGGTGTTGGATTTGGGTGAAAGGAGGGTGCAGTGTCAGGGGAATAGGGGGAAGATAGAGGGGTGCAGTATCTAATCACAGGGGAGGGTAATGTATTTAAAGTCTGCGGTGGTGGTGGATGGGGGGTTGTTCAGTGTCACGGGGATGTGGTATCCCATTAGAGAGTAGAGTTGGGCATGGAGAGTGCAGTGTTGGGGGACGATAGAGGGAAGGGAAGGATATTTGTAGTAGATGTAGATGATGTGTAGTGTGTAGGGTTCAGGTGGATGGAGCAGAGAGATAGAGGGGTGTTGTGCCGAGAGGAGGAGAAGGCATAGGAATACATGGTTGGCTGGTTAGTGGATGGAATTGCCAGTCTCCAGAGAACCAGGTGACGAAGGTGCAGTGTCTTCCATTGCAGAGAGATGCATCTAATGCCATCAGTAGATGTGGATGAAGATAGTCCGGCAGTGAGTTTGTTTAGATTACAGACATACTAATTCTCTACCCTGTCTTGTCCTATAGACCTGCCCAGCAGCTCCCGATAACTTCTTGAATGTACACCTGATCCCTCACACACACAACGATGTGGGCTGGCTAAAGACCGTCGATCAGTATTACTATGGAGGTAAGTGGACGATATTGCCTTCTCTGCCAATTTCATCAGACAGTAGAAGAGATAAGAAGAGCGTGCTAGTTTCCGCCCCATTTCCGCGGTGTCCTCGACTCTCTAAACTTTTCAGATAATGTAGTTAAGTAATTGAAGAGCAGGTTTCTTGTGTAGATTATCACAGATCTCTCTCATCATCAAGCAGGATGTGTTGTTCAATATCTTATCCTTCAGCCGCCCAAAGAAATAATAACCCCTCAATGCCTGTAAGTAGTCTATGAAAGTGGTTGTTGTCGTTCCTTCTACTACCTTGTGTTGGTTTATTCATTGATTTTAGATGCACATTAAAATATCAATACAGCATTTATCTTTTCAAAATGTGTTTTTTGTTTTTTTTTTATTATTAGACCATATTGTTTACGCCATTGGGTAGATCAATCCTCTCTGTTTGTTATGGTGTTTATTGTTACCTGGGCTGAAAGAGAGAGAAATTCCAACATTTTGAGCTTTCACCAGGACAGCCAAATGCAGGGGAAATCTTATTCCGGTGACCACTAACTAAGAAGAGATTTCCCTCACTTTGGAGAGGTCTTCTCTCACTTCTTGTTGTGTGTTTGGTGGAACAATGGGATGGCATGGGTTCTAACCATCCCCCTACTCTATCCAAAATGGGAAAAAGAAAAAGGTTTGACTTTGGATATGTACTCTTATCTATGGGGCAGCCCTGTGGTCTTGTAGATCTGGGATCCTGGTTATAATTCTCACCAGTGGCCATATCTGCATGAGGTCATAGGTTCTCCCCATGTTTACACCCCCAGTGGCGTCACAAGGGGGGTGCGGTGGGTGCAACCCGCACCAGGTGACACTATCAGAGGGGGTAACACCAAAATGAAAAATGAGGCACTTGGTCATGGACCGAGTGCCCGACAACTGTGTGAGAGAGGAGGGGACCTGGCGGCATACCTTATCCTGCCAGGTGAACGTTCCCACAACGTCATTATGCGCATATGTGATGGCCGCTCTGGGTCTCACCCAGCCTGGGGACGCCCCTGCTTCAGCCACTCCTAGTCTCTCTCTCTCTCTCCCACAATCCAAAAGCATCAAACTAGGTAGCCCCAGCTCTACCAATAAATTCATACTCCATGTTAATGAATAGGGTCATGTTTGCATTACCAAATCACTGACTTTAAAAAAAACAAAACAAGATGCAGCTCTACCTTTTTAAAAAAATTTTTTTGGAAGGCTATGGTGGGTGCGCAAAAATGAACACCATAGTGGACAAAAAAAGTGCAAGTGAACACACAAAAAAAGTGCACTAGGGTGTGTCAAATGGTCCATCTGCCAAAGAGCTAGGGCCCTTTCCCTGACCGCCCAGGACATAAGGCTCTTGACAGGGGCAAAGCACTTGTGTTCACCTACCCGAAGTCAGGTGGACTCATTCCTCTAGGTTAGCCGAAGGCAACCTCCAAGTACTAGGTTGGGGGGCTCCCCTGTAGGAAGACCCCTCCCCTTATGCAACCTAAAGTTTATGGTAGCCTAGATCACAGGAGAGTCTGTTGTCTTCAAGCAGACCGATCCTGTCTGGTAGCCTTGCAGTGAGATGAGATCAGTAAGATTCTTCCACTATGCAACACGACACAAAGCCTGCCTGTGAAATAAGGAATTTCAATGTAGAGATCCTGTGACCTCCGTTCTTGGGAAAGTTTGATTTAAATGTAATTTTTTTTTTTGCCATCTTTGACCTATTGGGGAAAAGCAGCTTGAAGGAGGTCAAATGGACCCGTCAATGAATTCTGAATGATCTTGGAAGCGTCTCATACTGATGCAAGAGCACGCTGTCCAACACAATTCCAAAGCTGGCCTCACACACAGTCCGTGACCTGGGACAAGTATAGAGATTGGGACAGTCAGAGTAAACTCTTTATTGGTGAACGTCCTCTTCTTTTCTTTCTTTATGCCTGCAACTTAAATTATGGAAGCAGGGGATCAATATGAGAGCCAAGCAGACAACATCTTTAGAATGAGGGGTCAGCAGTGATGAATTACACTGTGACAGGTTTCCTTTTACTGAATACAGGTTATGCCGTTTGCTAAACCTGGTTTACAGCACACTTTTATTCTTTTATGTCTTTCAGGGCTTAATAACATCCAGCACGCTGGAGTGCAGTATATCTTGGACTCGGTGGTTCCTCAGCTGCTTGCAGACCCCAAGAGGAGGTTCATCTATGTGGAGAGCGCATTTTTCTGGCGTTGGTGGAGAGAACAGAAAGTGCCAGTGCAGAAAGATGTTGTACACTTATTACAGGAAGGTGAGCAGCAGGGGGCGCTACACCACTGAGGAAACCTTATCATACAGCAGGGGGCACTACATGACTGAGGAAACCTTATCACACAGCAGGGGGCGCTACACAACTGAGGAAACCTTATCACACGGTAGGGGGCGCTACACGATTGAGGAAACCTTGTCACACAGCAGGGGGCGCTACACGACTGAGGAAACCTTATTACACAGGAGGGAGCGCTACACAACTGAGGAAACCTTATCACACAGCAGGGGGCGCTACATGACTGAGGAAACCTTATGACACAGCAGGGGGTGCTTCTCGTCTGCAGAAACCTTTATCACGCTTTAGGGGGCCCTACACGTTTGTAGAAACCTAATCATGCAGCAGGGGCGCCACAGGTCTGCAGAAACCTTATCACGCAGCAGAGGTACTACACATCTGCAGAAACATTATCACGTAGCAGGGGGTGCTTCTTGTTTGCAGAAACCTTATCACGCATCAGGGGGCGCTACACGTCTGCAGAAACGTTGCCATGCATCATGGGGCGCTACACGTCTGCAGAAACGTTATCATGCATCAGGGGCCGCTACACGTCTGCAGAAACGTTACCATGCAGCAGGGGGCGCTACACGTCTGCAGAAACGTTATCATGCGGCAGGGGGCACCACACGTCCACAGAAACCTTATCACGCAGCAGGGGGTGCCACACATCCGCAGAAACCTTATCACGCAGCAGGGGGCGCTATACGTCCGCAGAAACCTTATCGGGCAGCAGGGGGCGCTACACGTCTGCAGAAACCTTATCACACCATTGAACTTTCAATCCTGGTCCTCTGCGTCCCTCAGGTCGCTTGGAGTTTATAAACGGCGGCTGGTCAATGAACGACGAGGCCGCCACGCACTACAATGCCATCATCGACCAGATGACTCTAGGCCTGCAGTTCTTGCAGAACGTGTTTGGTGAATGCGGCAGACCGCGGGTCGCTTGGCACATCGATCCCTTTGGACACTCCAGGGAACAAGCGTCGCTGTTTGCACAGGTATGAGAGCGGTAACACGGTACATCGCCATTGCTCTTAATGCTCTTAGGCCTGTAAAAGATGAATTCTGATTGGCTGCTCAAAGGATTTTCTTTCATTTGGTAAACCAATGTGCATCTCTGTGACCCTCTAACCGCAGATGGGCTTTGATGGCTTCTTCTTCGGCCGGCTGGATTATCAGGATAAAGTCAATCGAGAAAATACGCAGCAGATGGAGATGATTTGGCGAGCGAGCGATGACTTAGAAGCACCCAATGCCGATCTCTTTACTGGTCAGTGAGTAGTTATCTATATTATTTTTGTGTTCCTCCTTGGATTTGGAGCCCCCCCATTCCCCAGGCCTATACAAGAAATAATAATGTTGGCCAATAAAGGGGATCACTTCAACTCAAAACTTTCTTCATTTAAGCTTGCTGTCCGTCATTTTGATCCTTCAGCTTCAACGCCTTTTGACCTGGAACAAGCATGAAGGATGGGCATTGCACAGAAGGGTTAACACTTTTCATATGTCGGTAGCCACATGCTAGGTCAGTGACTCATGGGGTAGTGAGGAGAGGGAATGAGCCTAAGAGCCTATGTCTCAGGTTAGCAGTGCCATCCAGTGCCGCGTCACCCCAAGTGAAAAGGCCAAAGTGCACCCCCCTCCCTTCCCCTTGTCAATGCTAAAGCCTGATGAAGGGACCCTGCGCGGTCCCGAAAGCGCTTGTTTGGTCATATGACAAAAAACTTCAATAAATGAAGCTTTTGCTATCTTTTAAAAGGACTGGTGTGCTGGTGACATTTCTACAATTTTCCCCTCCCTTCCCCATGATCTACTTCAGCAGCATAGGTTGCAGGTCATGCCCTTTTTGTACCCATCCTCCTTGTGAAGCACCCAAGATAGCTGCCTGGTCCTGGTGCCATCCCCTATATTTTGGTCCCAAGTGTTTGCTAGCATCCTGTCATTAACCTCTTGCCGTCCGCCCGTAGTAAAAAAACGGACGGACGGCACTGCTGCATTTGCGGGTTGCCGTCTGCAGACGGCAATTTTTTTCTGGTCGCGCGCGCCCCCTAGCGGGCACGCACGGGCAGAAAAGACCAGACCGTTGCACACACCCGTTACCGGGTGTTTCACATATAGGCGATCAGCGGGTCCATAGCCCGCCGATCGCCTATATGTTTTTGTTGCCGTTTTTTTTTTTTCCCCCCCTGACCCCTCACCTTGTATCCCGGGATCCGCTGCCCCATCTTGGATCCCGGGACCGGCTCCGAGGGCGTCAGGAGGAGGAGGACGGGAGATCAGCTCCTTGCTGATCTCCGTCCGGGCTGTGAATGCAGAAGTGATGTGTATTACATCACTTCCGCATTCACCTGTCAGTCATCTGGAGAGAGAAGAAGCTGATAAAGCAGATCTCTGCTTTATCAGCTTCTTTTGGGGTCCATAGGTGATATTAGGGGTCCTAGAGACCCCTAATATCTCCATAAAGAGGACCTGTCAGTGTGCCTTTGCTATTATATAGGGGGTTGTTATCCCCCTATATAATAGCAATAACAATAAGTGCAAAAAAATAAATATAAATAAAAAAAAATAAAAGTAACACATAAAAAAGTAAAATAAAATAAAAGTCACATATAAAAAAAGGGGAAAAAAACCCCCCAAAATGTTTAACTCCCCCACCCCCACGTTTACGCGCCTATAAACGTAAATACGCGTCCGGTGCCCCAGCGCGCAAAAATTACAATTGCGCTACACATGTTACATATGGCCGCGAACGTCGCAGTGAGAGCAATCATTTTAGGGCCATCAATCACTGATAACACTAAACTGATGAGCGGTAACAGCTTTTAAAGCGTCGCCTATGGCCAATTTTGGGTATTATCGTTTTTTGAGGTTTCGCGCGCGCACGCAATTTTAAGGCTTGACATGTTTAGTGTCTTTTTACCCGACGTGACCCCATCTTTTATATTTTACCAAAAAATTGGGTAATAATAAATGTTTTATCATTTTAATATAGGGGAAACTGTTTTTTTTTTTTTAATTTCGGTAATTTTTCCTTAATATAGTAAAAAAATAAAACCCCCAGTGGTGAATAAATACCACCAAAAGAAAGCTCTATCTGTCCTCTGTCCCCAAAAAAGGGTATAAAAGTAATTTCAGTACAGCGCTGTATGACGGAATAAATGTCAGTCAAAGTACCGCAGCGCTGAATACTGAGAAATGGCCTGGATGGGAAGGGGGTTTAACACCGCGGATGTCAACTGGTTAAAGAAATATGTAGGGAGACACTGTTGTCATCCTGATGAATAGCCTACTGCCTGCCATGCTGATCCTTCAGGTTTAATATTCATCACTGACCTGAAGCAAATGCCAACACAGTGCAGTCAGTTTGTGGTCTTGTTTCTGGTCAGTGAAGTCGGGGAACTGGAACACCAACTGGCAGTACCAGAAGAAGGTTTGCGGTGACAGCCCACCCATTTCCATCATGGGAGGTCTACTTTCCCAAGCTCTTTAGGAATCTTTACTTTCAACTTCTCCATTACCCCCAAAAAAATGGCTGCATCAGCTTCCACATAGCAAAACTGTATTGAGGTCCTTCCTGAGAAGAACGTTGAGCTTGACCTACAACGGAGCCTTAACCAGGTTCCATTGTCGGGAGTCCCAGGTTAATACTGAACATGTTCCATGACTGCTTTTGTTTCCTGTCCCCGCAGGCGTACTTCCCAACGGGTACAACCCACCAGAGGGCTTCTGCTGGGATCAGCTGTGCAGTGACGCGCCAATCATGGACGATCCGCAAATGGAAGATTATAATGCAGATGTCATGTTAACCAATTTCATTAAGGCTGTAAACGCTCAGGTATCAGAGGGAGACTTTGTACATGAGCCTGCCATATGCTGTGTACCTATACCGTGCTATAGTAGCGTCAGGGGGAGGAGGGCTGTGTACGGTTCTTGGGACTGTCATGGTGAAGTGTACTGAAACTGCTTTCCTATTCTTTCTATCCTTTCAGGCGCCAAACTACCGCACAAAACACATCGCTATGACGATGGGCTCCGATTTTCAATACGAGAATGCCATCCCTTGGTTTAAGAACATGGACAAACTCATCAATCTAGTCAATGCTGAGGTGGGAGGAGTCGCACAAAGCTGTACTGGTGCATAGATTAAAACCATTATAGCTAATCTTTAGGGTCCAGTATGGGGCTGATTTATAAATGTTCTGCCCAGCTCTGCAGTTCACTTGGCACTCCACTAGATGGCGATGAGAAGCATAGGAATTTCCTATACATCTAGCACCATCTAGAGGGAACATTTAATAGTGTTATGCAGAAAGTTTGCAGTTGTCAAAAATAAAGAAATACTCACCTGATCCTCAGTCCTGCGGCTGCGACCACTCACTTCCCTCCCCCTCCGCTCCAGCTATGGTATGTCGGGGTTCTCACTTCTAATAGACCTGCATTAAATATGATGATGTCACAGGTCCTTAGACTGCCAAAGCCTGGGGGACAAGAGACTGCAGTGAACAGTCTAGCAGCCAGGCAGAACTGAGGACCAGATGAGTATATGTTTATTTTCGCCCCTAGACAAACAACCACTTAACCCTAGCAGCGTGGGGGTAGCCCCCCCTGAAAGAGTTAATTTTGCACAATCCTGGAGTTCTTTAACATTGCATAGAAGGGGAAAGTGAAATAAGATTTTTCAGCAAATAAAAAGGTCAGCTGCAGTATATAAATATTTTTTTAACGTTATACTATCTGATTGGTGACCTGTAACTAGGAATGCACCGATACCGGTGCCGATACTGGGCATTTTCACGAGTACTTGTCAAAATGCCTTGATACTAAATGCCAGTACCGGCACTTTACATTTTCAAACACAAGTGGCTGCAGTAAGGTCCCACGCTTGCTGGGGACCTCGTGGTGCTGCTTTCAGCACCGGCCGCACATCTCCTCCTCTTCCTCCCTTCTGTGGATCCCCGCCGCCCGTACCCACCCACAAGAGCCTCTGGACCCCTGGTGAGAGGCCGCACAGCCTTCCTAAGACCCTGCACAGTCTGCCGTAGGCCCCGCACAGCCCACCTGAAAGCCCACACAGACCCTGGAGACATCCGGTCGCCACCCCGGAGCAACACAGAGTATGTAGCTTCATGTTATTCTGCATTGCTGTATAATGTATTGCTGGGATTTGTAGTCCTCCTATAGTTGATGGTTTTATTCTGTATTGCTAGGATTTGTAGTCCCTCTACATCTTGGAGTCAGTGGCAGAACTACCAGGGTTGCAGTGGTTACAGCTGGGACCGGGCCCTGGCGCTCCACCACTGTCCTAATATCATTAGTCACATGATGCTAAAAAAAAAGGTATCGGCGAGTGCTTGAGGAAAAACTATCAGTACTCGTACTCGGTCTGGAAAACATGGTATCTGCGCACCCCTACATGTAACAATGATAAAATAGGTGTTATTTTTATATGGCTGCAAAAGTGGAAATACAAAAATATTGGTCAAAAAAATCCCCAAAAAAGATTTCCATAGTACAGGGGTGGACACATTTTTATGGAATTCAGTAGCCAGTGTGTCCAATCCAGGAGCCAGCAGGATTTTTTTTAGGAGCCAGCTCCATTGATGACAACTAAAGAAAACCTCAAAAGTTAGAGACCGGCTGTAATTTTTATCCCCCTTGCCTACCGGGCTAATGTATGATCACAGTGACGGACGTGGCGCTATCAGAATACATGAACAGTGACTGTAGCTAATTGGCCGCCATGACTGTTCTGCTGTGATTTTTCGGTCGGTCTCCTTTAACAAAAGTCAATTTTAAAAAATCTACTTTTGTCCAATGAATGGGTGCCAACGGGGCCACCAACATCTCCAGTGTGCAGCCCAAATTCAATCAGTGTATGGCCAGCTTTAGTACTTGTAGAGAAGCCGTGGCCCCATGTGAATCCAGAATTGAGGATCCAATAGGGACACTTGCAAGACCGTTTTTACCTGCACATCTGCACTGTTCTTGCAATGCTGCAGGCTAGGACAGGTTCTCTTTAGTCACTAAAAAGTTGAAACAACATGTAGTCTCCCTCTACACATGACTGAAGGATGGCAGAGTCATCACAAAAAATGTTTTTCTTTTTTTCCCCCCCCAGCAATCAAATGGAAGTAAGGTGAATGTGGTGTACTCTACCCCGAGCTGTTACCTGAGTGCACTGAATAGGGCCAACCTCAGCTGGTGAGCATAGAACACGCGGCATGCTTGCAGACGTCTCTGCGTACCTGTCATCACGTACCCGGGTCTGTCTCTTTGTTTCAGGCCAGTGAAGATGGACGACTTCTTCCCATATGCAGACGGAGCTCACATGTTCTGGACGGGATACTTCACCAGCCGCCCAGGCTTCAAGGGATATGAAAGGCTCAGCAACAACTTCCTGCAGGTGAGTGGGCAGTCCTGACAAGTAGGACAAAGCAAGTATAAACCTCTGTAAGAGGGACTGTCCTGGATACACAAAGAACCAATCACATTCTTCCTTTTATGTCTCTGGTTTGCTAATGCTGAACCTGATTGCTTTGGGCAACAAAGGCGATACATCCTTCTGAAAATGTTATAATGATTAATAGATAATGTTATATCCCTATTCCTGGAACCGATGATGTTCTATTTTCCATTACCAGGTCTGTAATCAGTTGGAGGCTTTGGCTGGATCAGCTGCAATACATGGACCATATGGAACCAGCAGCAGCCTAGAGCTCAGTAAGTCTTGTAATTGCAGTATCCTGGTACAGTAACCCGGCTCCTGAGTGTTTTATTACCCCCTGTAACATCATATTACAGGAACCCGGCTCCCGAGTGTCCTATTACCCCTGTAACATCCTATTACAGTAACCCGGCTCCTGAGTGTCTTATTACCCCTGTAACATCATATTACAGTAACCCGGCTCCTGAGTGTCTTATTACCCCTGTAACATCCTATTACAGTAACCCGGCCCCTGAGTGTTTCATTACCTCTGATTTTTGTCTGTCTTAGGGCAAGCAATGGGTGTAGCTCAGCATCATGACGCTGTAACAGGGACGGCAAAGCAGCATGTGAATGATGACTACGCTTTGCGCCTCTTTAAGGGTTGGAAAGCCTGTCAGGTAAAGGTCCAAATTTTGGCACTAGATTAGATCAATTACAAATGTTAAAGGCTTTGAAATAAAAAATATATTATCCTTGGCACCGGTTCAATTGATAAACCTTAACACATATTTTTACTATTTCACTGATATCTGTAAAATTGCAGCCTTATATCACAGCCTTTCTGTTCTTTAACTCAGCCCGTCCATTCACTAGAGACCAGTGACATCACCGAGATCCTTCATATTCATGAGAACACAGCCCGTCCATTCACTAGAGACCAGTGACATCACCGAGATGCTTTATATTCATGAGAATAAGAACTCAATCCATCTGTTGAACAGAAACCAAGACCCTTTTCTCCATTCTCTTGTATAGGTTGTGGTCAGTAACGCTCTCTCCAGTCTGATGGGGACTAAAGAAAACTTTGCGTTTTGCAATCTGCTGAACATCAGCGTGTGTCCTTCAACAGAGGCATCCAAAACTGTGAGTTAATTTCCAAGCATTGCTTTTCACACGGATACCCCAACAACACACAATAGATGGGGCCAGTGCAGAGTTTTTAATTTCATGTTTAAAAGCTTGGGCTAAAGTGTATCCTGGAAAGGCAACGAGAAGCAGAAAAGAAAATGCTCCTTTTGGACAGTTGCTAGTCTTGGCTAGAGTTACACTTTGAGGGAGTCATTTATAAATCGTTCGCCATTTCTGCCACTAGGTGGAGCCGAGGAGGATAGGAAATTCTTATGCTTTTCTGTTCCTTATTATGGCAGGAATGCTGTGCGAATGGCATTCAAACTGCATATGGCTGGATGGATGATTTATAAATGATTCCCTTTGTATCTGTATTGACTATACCATCCCAGTTCGAGCGGTCACTCCTCGGGTGCAGCAATAATGAAGACATTTTTCTTTCTGCGGCAGTTGTTCTATCAGCTTTTACTTTATTCTCTGACATCTCTTCGTGTCCCTATACAGTTCAGCGTGTTAATCTACAATCCCCTGGCACGTGCAGTCACACAGTACGTTCGTCTTCCTGTAAATGGCACTTTATATGCGGTTAAAGGTCCTGCTGGTGAATCCATTGCAAGTGAGGTGAGATGAGCACATTTCGGTAATACCTGAACTCCGAGATAAGCAAATATTGTCCTCATACAAGAGTCATGTGTGTTCTTATTGAATCTTGGTGAGCTTTGTGTATTTCTTCCAGATCTGTGCATTAATCCAGTGTGACACTTGGAGCTTCCTGTAATAAAGACCGCTCACTGCTGCTCTGTCTCCTTGTGTAGGGTGACTGGTCTTGTCTCCGCCCCCTCCTGTAATAAAGACCGCTCACTGCTGCTCTCATCTTGTGCAGGGTGACTGGTCTTGTCTCCGCCTCCTCCTGTAATATAGACCGCTCACTGCTGCTTTCTCTCCTTGTGCAGAGTGACTGGTCTTGTCTTCGGCCCCCTCCTGGCAGCCTGTAGTGGGTGGAGTCTGCAATTTTTCACCCTACACATCTTACTTCCTATCCACTAATCTCATCGAAATTTTCCTTAGCAATTTGATATCATCAAAGTAGAAGTTTCATGATGGTATTCATCATATGACTGGTGGAGGTTGAAGATGCTCAACTATTAAGAGAGACAGCAGCTGTAAAATCCTATAGAATAGGTTCTTTCTGTAAAAGTCTGTGGACCCAACAATTAATTGCTAGTCCTCGTGTGGGGTTCTGGCCTGCAGGTTGTGCACCTAGACCTAGGCAATGTCCTAGTGCTCCTTGCTGCAGATTTTATAGTTGATGGCGGTCTCCTCCTAGGTAGTTCCAGTTTCGAAATTCACCAAAGATGTTCGCAGAGACAAAGGTTATGCTGAGCGAGAACTGGTTTTCCCGGGACAAATCCCCGCGCTGGGCTTCAGCAAATTTACAGTTGAGAAGGTCTCCGCTCCAGAGCGATTCCTCGGGACGAAGGTTAAAAAAAACCCGACATCGATTGAGAACAAGGTAGGTTATGTGCAATGCAATGTGACTGCACGGGGCAGCAGAGAAGTGCCGTAACTCATGCCAACAGATCAGGACTCCTGGTTCATTAATCTGCTGTGGGGGGTGTAGCTCAAATGGGGGATCACCTTCCCTTGGAAAAAGGTAGTCCAGGCAGAAAAGTTATTTTTCAATGTGACTAGGCAGTCAGTTTTATATAAAAGGTTGCCATAAAACAAAAATAAACCAGAAAATAAATCCTTGCCATCCAGGCTCTGACTAAACGGGCAGGTTCCTCTCTACCAGGTGGTGAGCTTATCTCAGCCCCCTCACAAAACAAACGTACTTGGCCTTGTTCACACCAAATGCAGAGCAGATCTGCATGAGTTTCTGCACACGCAGTGCAGTGGGTTGTGCCGCGTTTTTGGTTAAAAACAAAATTATTATTTTTTTTGTTTGTTTTAAAATGGCTTTCAGTGCGTTTCCAGGCTTTTGCATGCGTTTTTGATGTGTTTGCATGCGTTCCAGAGCAGGTAAAATAGGGCCTGCTGCAGTTTTTTTACCTGCTCTGGAACTGAACGCTGCGATGTGAACTAGAGCCCAAAATACCATTTGGATTACATTGGACGCAGTTTTGCTCCGGTCTGTAACTGCTCTGCACCTGCTCCGCGCTCGGTGTGAACAAGGCCTCAGCCTTCCCCTTTTATCTCACCTGAAAAAGGAATCATTAGGCAATTAACTATCCAGGTGAGAGACACAAAACCCGAGCTGGATCATTCAGACCCAAAGTCAGCCCGAAATCCCGGTCTGGGTTCCGTTAGTCCTGTACATGGGACAAAAAGCGAGGGGAAATATGTCGCCCCTCGATGACTTCCCCATTCCTCATGTCACACTGCCTATAGCTAGAGGCTTGTCCTTATGGGTTTGCATACTGCAGATCTTATGGAACTGGCTCCATTTGTTGAATTATTTGTGCTTCAAGGGAATGCATCGAGAAATCATGCCCATGGCAACTTGCTAACTAGGACAAGAGCCTTGTTTGGTGAAGGAGGAATGAGGAGAGGGCATGCTTTGGGAAGGTAAAACATATATACCGCCAGAGAGAGACTTGCCCTAAAATCTAACTGGATAGAAACTGAAAAGGGGACACAGATCTTGCACACAATCTGGTGCACTCTAATGCTGGGCACACACCTTACAACCATCGCAAGACTTTTGTCTTGCGATGGTTGTAAGGTACTTAAAAAAACGTATCATCTGCCCATCTTGGACAAGCAGATCTTACTTGCGATGATCGCAAGCCGCGCCCCCCTGAGGGGTGGGCTTCCGATGACCGCAATGGTAAACGGGCAGTGTGCGCTTGCGCACACCGGCCCGTCCGGCTTTTATCGTACGAACATGCTACACACCCGGCGAACATCGTATGATGCTTGGCGAGTTTTCGAACATGTTCGTTAGATAAAAGTCGTGCGACCTTACAGTAGTAGAGGTCGCACGGCTTCCACACACCTTACGATAATCGTACGATCGTGGGATTTTCCGCTATGATAGTACGATTATCGCAAGGTGTGTGGGCACCTTTAAGGTGAGCTGGAATCCTGAAGTACTTTCAACACACATACATACACACATACACACACACACACATACACACACATACACACACACAGTAATCTAATATAGCAATCTCTCCAGGAGTATGAATTTTGAACCTAGTACACAGAGCACCTAATGTTGTATATTTCATATCTCTATGTGGGTAGGTACACAAGTAAACATTACAAGAGGCAAGAAAGAAAAGGACATTCAGGGATTTGGGGGGGCGAAAACAAACGGAACCCTTTGGAGAGTATTGTTTTATTAAGCTTACAGGATCTTGTCAGGGTTTGGTTCGCAGTTAGGTAAATATTTGCAGGTGGCTCCTGAAGCTCTCTGAATACCCGAACAGTGACTGCAGCTGGTCCTCTACAACACCCAGCCCTGGGGTAACCTTCATACTCGGTCTTACCATGCTGTAATTATGATTTGGATTGGATGTACTTGTGCCAGGTTCTCTCCCTAATAACGGCCTCTGTGTTGCTGATTTGTTTTCCTCCAGTTTTACCGAGTGACATTTGACCCAGATACAGGGCTGATTAGCAACATTCAGAATCTGGAGAAGCAGATTTCCCTTCCTGTAAACCAGAGTTACTACTGGTAAGAATCTGTAATCTGAATATTTGTCTGGGGGTAATGCGTTCATTCAGGAGGAGGTCACCGGTGGAGTACAGCTGTCAGGTTAGAAATGAGGGAGCTCTGTTGCTGAATTGGGGACCTCTGAACACAGCTTCAGTCAGACTACAGGCTCACATCACCACCAGGTTATGATCTTATTCCCATCA